ACACTGCAGGTGTTGACTGATTGTTCTAGATGGTGCTGCTCTAAGGTAGATTTACCAAATACTAGCTTATTTCTTCCATTTCAAATGCATGTCACTCTCACCCTGCCTCCTATAGTAATGTTTGAAGTTGGGATGTATCTTAAAACTTAAAAGAACTGAATATAGTGTTCAGTGTAATAGCTGTTGAAGAGCTATTACAAAGTTGACTTGTGTTTCTTATGGTTGATGGCATTTTAAAACCCAGAAAATGGGTTCATAAGGGGACAGAACATGTGGAATCAGCATTTCTTAATGGCAAGTAGCCATATATAATTTTTCTCCTCACTCCCCTTTTGTAATGAATTGTTCTGTGTTATTTAAAAACCTTAGAAAAAGGCCTTTGCTGACTGTGTGTGGGTTGGCACAGAGCAAGCAAATACTCAAAATTGAGAAAGGAAAATGATAAAGGGTGGAGGATCATCTTAATTTTTTAGTAACTATACAGATATCTTTCTTTGAACTCCTAGCATTTGGTACAGTGGATTACTCCTTTTAAAAATACTCTCTTCTTGGATTTCTGTGATGCCATGGTCCCTGGTTTTTATCCTCTTATCTTACTGGCTCTTTCTTCTCGATGGCCTTTTCTCACCTCCGCTTCTCCACCAGACCTTAAAAGCACCAGTGTTCTGTCTTCTACTTTTCTCTCTCCTTCCCCCCTATGTTCTCTCCTTAGGTGGGTGCATCCATTCCTATGAATTCAGTTATTTTTTGGGGTTTTTGAGTCTCCCATTTGTGTCTCCAGCCTGGAAGACTCCTGAGATCAAATGACTTAACAGTATTTCTAGTTAAATGTTTAATCAGGATCTCGAATGTAACATGGCCACAACAAAACTTTGGATTCTCTGTTCCCCAAATCATGTCTTTCTAAACCTTCCTCATCTCAGTAAATGGCACCACAGGCAATTGATACTCAGGCCAGAATCTTTGCCATGTGCTTAGGGATCCTATTTGATTGCTTCTTGCACAACACATACCTACGCTCTCAGTTTTTTTTTTTTTTGATTCTACTTCCGAAACATGCCTCTCTTCACTTCGCTGATTCCTGTCATTGCTCTGACCCCAGTCCAGGTTTCCATCACCTTTCCGTTACTCTTAGACCATTGCATTGCATCAGCTTCCAACTGGTTTTCTTGCCTTTACTTTTTTCTCCCACTTGTTTTTGCTTTTACCTTATCTACAGACTTTTCTTCAGAGTGATTGCAGAATGGCATTACTGAGGTAGAAATTAGTTTATATGTTTGAAATCCAATGGTGACTTCCCCTTGCCCTCAGAATAAATGTAAAGCTCTTACATATTAAAAAGCAGAGGTATTACTTTGCGGACAAAGGTCCATCTAGTCAAAGCTATGTTTTTTCCAGTAGTCATATATGGATGTAAGAGTTGGCTTATAGAGAAAGTTGAATGTTGAAGAATTTATGGTCTTGAACTGTGGTGTTGGAGAAGATTCTTGCGAGTCCCTTGGACTGCAAGGAGATCAAACCAGTCCATCCTAAAGGAGATCAGTCCTGAATATTCATTGGCAGGACTGATGCTGAAGCTGAAACTCCAGTACTTTGGTCACCTCATGCAAAGAGTTGACTCATTGGAAAAGACCCTGATGCTGGGCAAGATTGAGGGCAGGAGGAGAAGGGGATGACAGAGGATGAGATGGTTGGATGGCATCACCGACTCAATAGACATGAGTTTGAGCAAGCTCTGGGAGTTGGTGATGGACAGGGAAGCCTGGTGTGCTGCAGTCTATGTGGTCACAAAGAGTCGTTGGACATGACAGAGTGACCAAACTGAACTGAAAGCTCTTAAGTTGCCAGCATCATCTGATTCCTGCCTGCTTCTCTGACCTTTCTCTTCCTGTGTCCAGTCATGCTGATCATCTCTGTAACTGGAACTTGACAAGCTTGGGCCTTTTTCATGGCTTTTGCACTTGTGGTATTTTCCTCTCAGAGTGCTCTTTCTTCTGATCTTTGCTTGGCAGATTCCTTCCCATTGTGTCAATCTCAACTCAGATTTAAACTTCTAAGGGAGACTTGCTTTGACCAGCAACCCCACAGTTATTCTGTGTTCATTACCCTCTTTAATCATTTTAATATTGACCAGTGCCTGAAATTACCTTGCTTGTTTCTTTTGTTTTGATCACATTTCCTCTTTAAGACTGTAAACTCCTTGAGGTTGGAATCTCTTTTCACAGCCACATCCCCAGCACTTAGGACAGAGCCTGACACATAGTACAACCTCATTGTGTTTTGATTGTTGGTTGATTTATACTTCTGAGTAGAACAGTCTTTTTCACTTCTAAGTAGAATGATCTTTTTGACAATATTAAATAAGATATATTAGCTCAAAACTTAGTTCACAAATAACTGGATAAGAAACTCATGTGTTCATTGGAGAAAGGATGTTGTCTTTTTGGAGGTGGTTACCAAAAAGTTTGTCTTCCTTGGTGGCTCAGATGGTAAAGAATCTGCCCGCAATGCAGGAGATCCAGGTTCAATCCCTGATTCGGGAAGATCCCCTGGAGAAGGGCATGGTAACCCACTGCAGTATTCTTGCCTGGAGAATTCCATGGACAGAGGAGCCTGGTGGGCTACAATCCATGGAGTCACAAAGAGTCGGACACAACTGAGCAACTAACACACAGACACCAAAAAGTTAGATAACATTGTGGGCATATTGGTATAGTCACAGGATTCCTGTTGATCACGAGCACTGGATCACCAAGCATAGTATTCACTTTATTTTGAAAGGCAATACATTTCAACATTGGCAGAATTCCAGACAAAGTAGAATAATGGGCCTTATTTATTAATGGAGTTCTCCTTGAGAAGTCTTTTGTTGAAGTATGGGGAAAGTGGTCTGATGACTTGAAGGTGACCAAAGAAAAGAATGTGCCAGGATATAGAGTTGGCATCTGCCACATATGGTTCTGTCTTTTGACTTTTGTTTGTTTGAAGTAAGTCCATAGTCTCTACATTCTTCATCATTAGCTAACAGACACCCATGACTTTTTCTTATGTGCATAATACATAGCTCATAGTACTGCTTTGTCTTTCAAGATTCAACATTCATTCAGTAAATAGGTATTCAGTGAGTATCTACTATGTATGAGGCATTGTGATAAGTGCTGGGGATCTGGCTGTGAATAAGGTAAAATCCCAGTCCTAAATATTTGTTAAATAAATTGGTGAGCTTCTTGAAGCTTATTTCAGAGGATTGGTGTGGCCTTCAGAGCTTTAGGAAGTTGGTAGAAGGCATCTAATGTCCCACACGTTACCCCTCTAGAGTCTTTTTTGTTGTTCCTGCTTGTGCATTGCTTTGTTTTCCATGGTTATTTGAATGTCTGTTCTGTACCCATCACTGTGTTAGACCCTGGACGTTCAGATAACAGCAGAAAAAAATGTCGTCTTCAATATCTCTTTAATAGTAATATAGACAGACTGGGAAAATGTATTATTTTAATGCAGAATTATAAAGTACAACGATAGTCTCCACACAGTCTACTATGGGAGTGCAGAGAGGAGGCGTCGAACCAACATCAAGGGGAAAGTGAAGGGCGAATAGGAGTTAGCCAGGTGGGTAGGCAGATGAAAGGGGCCTGAGCTTTTTCTGTGAAGAAAATCAAGTGTGCTCCTCAGATGGACTGGTGCAAACTTGAGGAATTTGGTTTGCTGTGGCTGGAAGGATAATGAATATAGGGAGAAATGAATATTGAAGTCAAGGAGGTGGAGATTTTTGAATACCAACTGGAATTCACTGGAAGATTGAAAGGGCACCTGATCAGATTGCCACAAGAAGATTGTCTTTTAGCTCGTATCTCTGGGAGGAGATACGAATTAATTTGGGAGGAACTAGAAAAGGTGGGTGAATACTCGTAATCTCTGAGATCGATGTTTTACGGACAGCCCCTCTGGCTTCTGGGAGGGAAGATAGACTCTGGGGTGTGAGTGAGGTGTGTGCATGGAAGGAGTAAGACAGGCTAGAGGGAGTCTTAGCATTCAGCTGATGTATAGTAATGAGGAGCTTTTCTTTTCAGATAGTTGTGTATCTTGCCCCTTTGTAAAAAGAAATTTACCATTTTTATAAAAGATGCTGGGGAAGGTTTTGCTAAGTTTTACTGGAAGCTTGGACATGCTCACCCTCCCTTTCTTGTTGTGTTCTCACTGGAAGTTCCGTTCCCAGGTAGAGAATGCACACACAGACATCAGTGTCCTTGGTTCTTCATATCTTTTGACCTTTGCTTCTGTTCTTAATGAAATACCAGTGAAGGTGCTGCAGTTTTCAATTTTGGTTTTCCTTTCATCGTGGTAATCCTATTTTACTGTTTAAGTCCTTTTAGGCAGTAAGGTTGTTGGAATAGCATCAAGCACTTCAGGCATTTATAAATTCATTTCAGTTAACTTGAGTTTAGGTGATTTGTTGCATTGCTAGTGAGTTTATTATTGTATATAACTATCTAATCGAATTAGTGAGAGGAATAAAAGGCTCACTTTGATGTAAATCATTAACTTTTTCAAAGAGGACAGACCATATTTTTAGTAACATCTCAAGCTGAAGAATATTCAGTGTATAATACATGTGCTTGAATAATGTTAACACACAGTCTCCAGAGAGGCAATTAATTTTATATTCAGAGGTAAGATTAGGTCAGTTTTACTTTATCTTTTGGATGTTATTAAATACTTGCAGGTATTGACAATGTAGGAAGAAAATGCTTATCCTCTTTATATTTTAAATGAGAAGATAAGAGCACAGTTTATATATTTTTAATATTTATCTCTCACCAGTGTTTCCATATTGAAGCAGCTACATATTGTATTGTAATGGCCCATTGACTTGACTCATCTACTAGCTCTTCCCCCCAACCTCCCAACCCCCGCAGTCCCAGTGCCATCTGAGTGAGCACTTGGATGTTTTTGGCTGATTAAATGTGATACTTACTTACCTGTTTCATATTTGTTTTTAATAGAAAATGCCTCAGATGCAGACTTATGGCTCCTGAATAGTTGTACTGTAAAAAACCCGGCTGAAGACCACTTTAGAAATTCAATTAAGTAAGTGAAAGCTGATTTTTTTCCCCCTCATCTTTTCTAAGTGTTGTAAGAATTTTGGGAAAATAGCTTTTAAAAGATTCCTAACATTACAAATACTCAGGATGTTATCAATAAAAGTATGAGTTGGACTTTTGTAATTATACTGTTTGACTTTATCTGATAAAGAGCGAAACTTGAATGTAGACTTTCCTAATAGATGTTTGAGTATTTAGAAAGGTGGCTAATAAGTGTTTTGAGTATCTGTTAAGTATTAATAACAGTTTTCTCAGGGAATCCAGTCCCTACTTTTTGAAACTACCCAAAGCAGTCCTTACCTCTTCTCTCTTGCCTGCCTGTTAGTTAGTGCTGTTCTAGGTGCTAATAATGCCTGGCCATCAAGGAAATTGCAGTTTTCTGGGGGAGTAGCCATGTAATCCATGGTTATTGAATTGTTCTTCAACTTACAGTGAAAGAAGTATTCTTTTTTCACATCTCTGAATCTTATTCCACCCACCTTCTTAGACCCTTCGTTCTCTAAATTTATATTCTCATTCACCTCTATTTTCAACCTCTCCAACCCCATTGCTGCCTTTTCATTGACCTATAAACACGCTCAGGTCTACTCAGCTCCATGCACCCCTTTTAGCTTTGATCCTATTTTTCTTCTTGCCTTTCCTGAGAAACTTGTTAAGATTCTTCATTTCCTGGCTTCACTCTCAAATTCAATCCCCACCACATTGGTTTTATTGTGAAATATGTCATACATAAATGAGTTTATGAAACATGTACAGTTTAAATAAGGGTAACAAATGTACCACTTATGCATCCACCACCAAGCATAAGAAATAAGGCGTTACCAAGACCTTAGGTAACTGCCCCGTGTCCCTCTTTTAGTCATATCCTCAAGATGTAATCTTTATCCTGACTTGTGTGAGTCATTCTCTTCCTTTTATTTATCGTCTGCTAAATACATCTGTAAACAATGTGTTTAATTAGTTTTGCCCTGTTGTAAACTTTATTTATTGGACTTACACTGTTTGTGTTCTGAGAATTGCTTCTTTTCTCTTCCATTTTGCTCCTAGATTTATCCACGTTGATGAATGTAAAATAACTCGGGCCATTTGTAGTATCTTACTGAATGAATATGTCGTAATGTATTCATTTTATTATAGCAAGAGTTTTTAGTTTTCCCCATGTTTTCCTTTTATGAGCATTGGTGCTCTGAATGTTTGAACATTTTCCAGTGCAGCCGTGCTAAAATTATTTTAGAATATATACCTGGGAGTTGAATTATTGGGTCACAGGTGCGTGCATATTCAAACTTTTAGGTGATGCTGAACTTTTTCCCTGATGGATGTACCGAACCTCATTCCCACCAGTCATGGATGTGTGTGGTGGTTCTCCATTCTAGCCAATACTTGATATGGTCAGGGTTGTAAATTTCTGCCAATCTGGTGGTAGAGATGGTATCTCAATGTGGTCTTAATATGCATTTCTATGATTACTAGTGATGTTGAGCATCTTTTTGTATGTTTGCCATTTGAATTTTGTATTTTTTTTGTGAAATGCTTTTAAAGTATTTTTTCTGATACTTGTCTTTTTATTTGTGGAAATACATTCAATGCATTCTGTGTACTTACCCTTACACATTACATTTGTTGCAGCTATCAGCTGTGGCTTATCTTTCACTTTCTTTAATGGTATCTCAGGCTGAAGAGAAATTCTGGCTTAAAATTTTCAATCTTTGCTTTTGGGTCTGTGCTTGTATTCTTTAAGATGTCTTTCCTTACTCTAAAGATATTCTGTGTATTTTCTTCTAAAAATTTTGTGGTTTTTAATTCTTACATTCATATTTATAATTCATCTGGAATTTATTTTTTTCTCTTGTTGTGTTACCAGGACGGGGGTTCCATTTTATTTATCTTTTGCATAAACACCAACTTTCCCAGTATCATCTATTATTTTTTAAAAAGCCTGCCCTTTCTCCTTTTATTTATTTATTACCCGCTTTGTCATAGGCTCATTGTCTGTAGATATTTGGGCCTGTCCCTTGGCACAGTGTTCAGTTTCATGGAGCTATTTCTTTGTTTTGGTGCTTATTCTACATAGTCATAATTAGTATAGATTTATAATAGGCCTAAATGTTTGATAGCACTAGTGCCTTTTTGTTCTTCAATTTGAAGGAAGACATGTTTTAGTTTTGAAAATGCAAAGTTACAGCTAAATATTATAATAAAGTAATGGATAATATTTGATCTTTATCAAGTGTCTTCTGTATGGCAGGCACTGTTCAAGGTGCTTTACATCAATTGGATATTATTTAATTGTTGCAGTCTTCCAATGAATTGTAGTTTTCACTTTTATTTCTGTTTTACAGAGGAAGCAGCATCTGTTTTGCAGTTGCTAAAGTTCTCTAAAACCCTTGAGTTCATAAATGGTGGAGGTGGGATGTTAAAGTAGGCAGTCTCACTGCAGTCTGTGCGTTGTTAAATTTAATACTATGCTTTCCAAGTAAAGACGTCAGGTACCCAGTTGTAGATTTGGGGCAGATTATCAGACAACACTTGAGATACAGCCTTTTTATTTCCATAGAAGTGACCTTTGAATGTGATGGTGTTCTCAACTCAGTAACTATGGAAGGAGCAGAGAAGACTTGCTACCTGAATGATGATGGGAGGCTTAGGAGGGTGGTGGTGATGTGGGAAGGAACTGGGGAGTTAGGGCTGTGGCTAGGACCAGAAGAAGGGAGAGTTAAAACAAGAGCAGAGCATGAAATTTGCCAGGTGCTGCTTATTTTCAAAGAATGCTTTTTATTTTGTGAGAAGTCTGTCATGTTCCACATAATCTACTTTTTTCCCCACGGGAAAGGTGTAAGATACAAAGATATTTTAGTGCTACTGATAGCCTCTAAACTCAAAACCCAGAGAACTTATTTTCTGTGATTATCAATGTTATAATGTAATTAATGGATACACTTCTAGACTCTTTCTACAAGTTTACTTAAAAACTCAATATAACTTGTGTCAGTGGGTCTTCTTATATAAACTGTTGTGAAAGTGGTTCAAGATAATGATACAGTGTTTGATTAAGTGAGGTAATCACTTAAGATGTGTTTGTCTTTTTAATACTACAAAGCTAGTGGTAGCGAGTGCAGGTTCCTTTAATGCGCTGTTCTGCTTGATTGAGAGAAAATTTAAAAGCAGTATTATAGGTGATTAAGTATTTTTTTTAATGGCTTTGAAGGCTTTTGATAATCACAACTAGCTCTTGTTAACGTAACACCTAAGCTCACGTTGGATTTGTTTCCAGAATAAATATAATCCTGTAGAAGGCACATTAACAACTAACATTGAGAAAACATCCATTTCAAGTGACATTTATATATGCAAAGACTTTTAGTGAAAGATTACCTACTCTTTTCAAGCATTTCACTTTATTTAAATGTTTTCCCCTCTTTCATCACTGTCTCCTAACAAAGCAAAACAAAGATGAATAGTTCATAAACTTTATTATACCTTCAGTCATGCGACATGTTTGTCTTCTCTCTACCTCTGGCTCCATCCTTTCCCTTCAGCCTGCTCACTAGATGGATTTTTTTCTTCTTATGATACTGAGGCAACATTTAAATGCAAGGAGAGCATATCAGGGCTTTGCTGGTGGCTCAGACAGTAAAAAACCCACCTGCAGTGTGGGAGACTTGAGTTTTATCCCTGGGGGAGGGAATGGCTACCCACTCCAGTACTCTTGCCTGGAGATGCCCACGGAGAGAGGAGCCTGGTGGGCTACAGTCCTTTGGGTTGGTCACTACGAGGGTTGCGACACCCTACCAGGGGCTGTGCTGCGCTGAGTTGCTCACGGTCACTACTGAGCGACTCAGCACAGCACAGTACCTGGTAGGGTGTCGCATTTCTCCTTGTGCAGCTGCACCTAATCCCTTACGCTCGAACTCACCCTTTATTGAATGGGCTGGAGGCTGTATTTCTCTAGTCTGAAAGCCCTACAAATGATGATTTCTTCACTTTGCCATTTACGTCTGGGTGTTTGTCATCATTTCTGATCATCTGCTTTTGTTTCTCTCCTGATGTAATCTTGATATTTAAGAGTAGTTTGTCTGCTATCAAATCATTTTATCTCTTGAGCTATCTCTTGACCCTCTTGTTTTAACAGGAGAAAAGAAAGAAAACTCTGAGAGATTTACTATCTTTTATGTGATTAATGCAGTCTTGATTAAGATCTCAGAACTGTAAATCTGTGACAAGGCAGCCATGGCCTTTTTCTTTTCTCTTTGTGGTGGTGGTCAAAAGTATTAGGTTTGCAGCATCACAGTATAAAAAATATTGGGAATATTATTTAACCTTTGTTGCAGAGCACGTTGGCTTAAAATTATTAGGAAGTTTTCATTTTATACACTGGTGCTGATAATAAATCATTGTATCCTTAAGTAATTTCTTAACCTAGTCAAAATAACATAGTTGGGATGAAAATGCATGTCTGTTCATCTGTAGGCTCTGCCGCTCAGGACTTTCTACTAGTTGATCTAATCACTAAGGTTTTGCAGTGTTTATATTATTGATACTCAGATTGATAAAAGAGTAGCAGTTTTAAGTAGTAAAAAAGGAGTTAAGAATGATTTTTTTGTCTGCTTTTGAACTCTGAAATCTTAAATGCTTATTGCCTTTACTAATTTAAAAAAAATCGCTAATGATCCCCATGTTTTGTGATGGCAGGCTGTTGCATGCATATTCTTTCTTCTTGAGCCCTTGCCAGTTGCCCCGTCCTTGTTTTTATCCAGTATACCAATTTGATTTAGACAATATGGCCTTTAACTTGAGGGGCTCTTGAGTAAACGAAAAAGATCAAAAGTTAAAAAAAAAAATAGAATTTCCTCTTAATGAGAGTATCAAATAAGAAAACTCCTTTGGTTCGTGCTTTATAGAAATGTGGGATCTTTTCCATGCCACCTAAAGGAGGTCATTCAGAGGATGGTGGAAATAAACACGTCTTGTGTGTTCTATATAAAT